GAAAATGTATTTGACCGAATTTCCAGATTTAAATTCAAGGATTAATTCAAGTACCAGATGAAAAAGTGAATCCGCATCTGGTTTTGGTTTGGCTGATTTTTTATTGTAAATTTTAAGCCAGATGAAAATCTAGAGCAAAAGTTAAGCTTGCATCAAGAGCAAAATGTAGATTTCCAGTTTTAAATGCACGCACTTCGCAAGTTGCAAATGTTGAACTTTTGCTGGTGTATCAGAGTTGAATGCAGCATTCATTTCGAGGACTAGAACCTATGCCTAAACGGAATTCGTTTCAGTTCGGAGAAAAACTATATAGAAATCGAGAGCTGGTCTTGTGCCTTTATAATGGCAGCTGTAACTTTCGAGCTCAAAATAACAAGCCAAAAAGTAAAATTCTGTTTAAAATATGTACTTCAATGATTGGCAAATGCCTTTTAATGCTCTTTTCTATTTGTGTGCTCGATATATAAGAAGCTTGTCTATTTTTTTGTGCCCCCCATTTGCCATTTGCCTTTGTTTGTGCCATTATTTTGTAAAGAAGTGCTCTTTGTGGACGTCCTTGGCTCCACCTCAAATAAACAATATTGTGCAATAAAAGGCGCACAAATTAAATGTTTAACTCGAAGGCGCAGAAATGATTTGCGCTTGATTGCATGCAATTTGCTGGCTGCTAATGTCAACAGAAGGCGGCGCACGGCACACCGTCCTTTCTTTGGCTGTTTTTTTCTTCTTAGCTTGAGTGTTGCTTTCTAGCATTAATCTAGCCAATTGCCAACGAGCGTGGCAGACAACTTCTTTAGAGCTTCTTCATTTTCTTTGGCTGCGCATTTAAATTGCCCGCATTTTGCTTAAATTCCTGCACAGCACACCTGTAGCAATTTATTTTTTTCCACTTATTCAGTATGTTTATACCTGTATATATATATATATATGTATATTTTTATATAGTTACGCTTGATTACTTGCGCGCTGGTAAACAAATTTTTTAGCGGCATCAACAACAACTTTTTTTAGAGCTCCTTTTCGCTGCCGCGTCGTCGTGTCTATTTTGACGCACAGACACACACAGCCAGTACATAATTTCATTTACAATTTACAATTTGCCTTCTTTATCAGGCAGCTTGGTAATTTTCCTTAAATTCCAAATTAAAATCTACACAGGCGACACGCTGTCGCCCACTGCCGAAGCTCCTACGCGCCCGTTTGCTCGGGAGTTCCTTGAGAGTTCGGAGCAGCCAGCTTTCTGCCAGCATAGTTTGACACCTTGTCGAGACTTGGTAATAAACTTGGTAATTTAAGCAATTGAAGCGCCTGCTTTTACATTAAAATGTCTAAAGTATTGCAGCAGCAGCGGGGTCGAGTATCTTGACTGATGTTTATGGCGTTTCGGTGCGCCTCGCGCTGTAATAGAATTTTCACTAGCACCAAGAGAAAAACGTAAAAAAAAAAAAAAAAACAGACACTGAGCGAGGGAAAACAAAAACAAATTTATGGAATTTTTAGTGCAAAATTTTTATTTGCATAAGCGCATAAAAAATACTGACACAACATCAGATGTATGCAACGACAATAGCAGCCAACAGCATCAGTTCATCTACAGTGGTAAAAGAGTATCAAGAATAAATCAAAAGTCATAATTATATATACTAGAAGATAATTTCGATAAATTATCATGGGAAAAAAGTTGTACAAACAATTCCCTATTTTTAGTATGTTATTTCATTGCAAACTAAGCATAATACCCTGTGCTTACACTCAGCTGGGATTCGAACCTGTAACCTCTTTGTTTCTTTTGCAAAAGTCATTTAAAAAACTCAGTTTATATTCAAAGCAGTTTGAAACTAGTTTAACCCTTAAAAATTGGTATGAATAATATTTAAATTTGCCAAGCTGGCTGCTTGAATATACCCTGTACTAAAATGAATGCCGCACAGGCAGGCAAATGTGGTTGAAACTCTACTCATTAAATTTTGAAACGCTTGTCAATTGCTCAATGTTTATCAAATGTGTCACTAAACTAATTGTTGACCAATTAAATGATATAGATAGAGTATCTAATGATATAAAAAATATAAATATTGAAATAAATTGAAACTCTTGATAAAAAAAACATAACTTTCTTTAAAAGTCACTTGAAGTCAACGTCCATTTCCGTTTTTATTTTGACATCACATTTAGACATACATATAGAAATTGGCCATAAACAAATGACTCTTGCACCACTGTGGCACAATGTGGGCTGCCGCATCCCATGTGAGTGGCATGTCGAATATTTTATATGCACATTTCTTTTTGGGCATTCAAATGAGTACGAACATGAGCTAGAGAATCGTATGCGTGGGCGCGTGAGCAGGGATGGGGAGGTGGCAGGTCGTGTGCCAGCGGTGGGCGTGGCTCATGCAGCCGTTTTGGCAGTCATTTGCATTTCCGCAAATGTAATATTTATGACCATTGTGTTCTGGTGGATGTGCGCGCATGTGTGTGCGTGTGTGTGTGTGTGTGTGTGTGTGTGTATGCAGCGGCAGTCTGACTTGACGTTTGTTCTGTCAGTCTGTCAAGTTGTTGTCTTCTTCAACCATATGCGTGTTAACTTGTTTTCTTTGCCTGTGTGTGTAAGTGTGCGAGCGTGTGGGACTAAAACATTCATAACATTGAAGCTGACCAAAGCATTTATCTTGTACCAAAGTCGTTGGCCGTGTGGCCAGCCTCAGATGAGTTAGCTGAAACAACACACACACTCGCACACCCACACATATACACACACACACATGCATGCACATGTCTATATAGAAGCAGAGATCAGAAATCAAATAAGCTCATTGAAGGCATTCTTCCGCACCAGAAACTTTTAACAAAAATGCATTGCTAATGCGATATACGATAAAAATGCACCGAACGAAAAATTTATAAGCAATGCAGACCAGCCTCCGCAACCCCGAAACTCCCCCTCATAGTTGTAGGCCATAGATAAAAAGTTAAATGTATTACTAAAACAGTTCGTTTTGGCTTCAGCCTGGTCCATACCTGAGATAGGAGAGAACATTTTTCAATTAGCCTCAAAAACTGCTGACTATAACAAAGGGTCGGCTTCTGTAAAATGTGTGTGTGCGTGTGTGTGTGTGTGTGTGAGTAGAGCTCACACCTTTTCAGGTGTTAACTTAAGCTAATTAGAGACGTTTTGGACCGAAGTAAAATAAAGCAAACTCATGCGTGTAGAAGACGCAAATATACACGTAAGCCTTACAGCGTTCAGGCGGGAATCTTTAAGGCAAACATGCTTAAAATGGCACGACCAAGAGTTACCCTGTACATTTGGTGTTGTCTTTGAATATGCATGCACAAATACAATCAATGCAGACTTTCTGGGTTAAAAGCTGTCATTCAAATGTACCAAAAATCAAAAGATACAAACCGTGCATGTCATGGCATATGCAGGTTTATGTGTGGTGCTTCTCTTGGCACATTAACCTTTATTTTTTATATACTTTTTAGAAAGCTTACACAGGGTATAAAGGAAACAACAAGAACTTGATAGCCAGGCAATTTGTGCATAATCGAGTTCGCAATTTTATAATCACACGGAGCACTTCGGCTGACTGACCATGTGCCTGGCACAGAGGGCTACAGCCCATACTCTCCTATACACACACACACATACACTGACACTCACTCACACACTTACAGCCACGTGTGTGTATATAGCATGCATATTGTATGACTTCCTTAAGCTCATGAAAGCTGCATGCAGCTGGCAAACATGAGACTTAGCAGCAGGCACAACTTGAACTGTTCCGTTGCCAGTGTGTTGGCATACATATTTGAAGCCCACAACACTTGCACACACACACACTTACCTACATACACACATTTACACACACACCGTATCTCATAAAAGTAAGCACTTCAGTGGTTTTGTGACCAATTTTCGCAATGCCAACCAAAATTGTGGCAGGTTTTTGGATTTTTGGCAAAATGTTTTTAGCCCGAGTGAATTTCGCCTATTTGAATGTGGTTGGCCTTCTGGCCCAAAGAGTTATGATAATTGCCAAAAGGGTAAAGTTCTTTGTGCCTTTGCATTGGCTATTAGCAGGCAGCTTGGCATTACAACATGTCGATATTTGGTTGGGTCTAACAAGTAAATTTCCAGCCCAGCCTCTCATTTCTGAGCTCTTTAATGTCGCCTTCTGTACCCCAAGCTGACATGCCCGGCAAAATATTACCAATGGGATACTTTAAGGCCACAACTCTAAAGTGCCTGAACATGTTTTCAGCTCAAAGCGTACAAATTGTGTGCTTAGTTATGTTATTACGCATATACGCCCGAAAGCATAAGCATGTTTGTTCAGGTGGACTCTAATGGGTATTATAAAGCTGGCAAAAGAATTAGTTTATTTAGTACATTTTAAATTATTGTCTGTTTGTATAAAAAGTGGCGATAACTATAAAGTGAAAGATACTTGATCTGTATACATTACATTCGGCGATTCTGGCTCTTGAAACCCAAGAGTTTTGCTCAGAAAACAGAATTTTGATATCGATATGTTTCCTAAACTTGTTGCCCAGTATGTAAACCGAGGAGCTTGAGCAATTTATATCTGCAATATGACCTTGTAATATGTTCTGTTTGCCTCTAGATCCTGGCCTAGTTTCAGGCCAGAATTGGTGAAGAACTGGAAATCTAGAAGAGAGAACCAGGCTCGTCTATTGATATTAACATGAGATATGGGCTTGCAGATGTTTTCTGCCTTGAATAAGAATATCTGTAAGAGCAGAAACATTTCTTAAGAACTGCAACTGCCTCATATTGAACCAGCAACTTTTCTTGCCACAGTTTTCAGTTTTGTTCTCTAACAAAACCATCCAAATATAATATTTTACATTAATTTCCAAGAAGCCCTTTTAGTTACCCTAGCCAAGTAGCTGAGGCATTTCGTAACATTATGCCCCACTCAGCTGTCAGCTCCTGCAGCTATTTCCACTCATTCTAGCGGATTCATACTCACCCACAACATTGAATGTATATGAGAGTGACATTTTGGGCTCCGTGTTGATTTGGCACTCGTAGACGCCAGAGTCGCGCGGCTGCGGATATTTGATTTGCAGCGTCCAATTGGCCGAGTTATCGGGTCGCAACACCTGCAACACGCCACAATTCATAAGTATTAACATTGGGGAGGTGAGGGCGTGGCAATTGTTGCTTACCTGAAAGCGCTGATCGGAGGTGTAGGTGGTGCTGCCGGCGGTGAGTATATGCAGATCACGTTTGCGTATCCACGAGACCTGCAAATAGAAAGAGTAAAAGAAACGGAATTGGAGAATCTGAGAAGGAGAAAATGAGTAGCTGCGAGATAAAGACTTGTTGTTCACTTGAGCTTTGTGCTCTGTGTCTGCAAAGTTGAAAAGTTTAAAAATTACAAATTCCGCACTTAAAAGTTTCGCCCAAGTGCGTTTAACAGCGCTTTGTGTGCCCGATGTATCCAGTCTTGTTGCCAGCATTCGTGCCACACTGCCACACTGCCACACTTGCCACACTTGCCACAGTTGCCACTTGCCACACAAACAAAGCGCAAAGTTTACTTTCTTTTTTTTTGGCTACTTTTTTCACGGAGGCGGGGCAAAGTGTTTGGTACTTCTTTTGGTTTGCTGCTGTTTTGTTAATCTTAAGCATTTCGCTTTTGTTTCTTGCATTTAATCAACAGCAAATACCAGCAAATGCAAGAAAACAACGAATTTTAAATACCCTAACGGACATATTGGGAAATTGGAAAAAATTTCCATCCATATTTGGGAGTCTTGTAGACAATTTTCCAATTTGATCTCCTGGTAATATATGATAAAGTTTCGCGATTTGTGACTATTTCAAATCTATTAAAAAAAGGAAAAAATTGCTGTCAAAGACTCGTCAAATAAGAAATACACTTGACATGCGGCCTGGAAATGCTCGGAATGCAGAAGCTCCTCTCTTGCCTTTTCGATCTACCTGAATCGGATAATATTATAGTCCGATTTGAGACGATTCAAAGAAATATTCAAAGATACGCGAAGCTCGTAAGAGTTAAGCTAAGTCGAGCCAACGCGAAACACAGAAAAGTTGTTTATAAAAACAACGTTGCTCTCAATCTAGCATTCCCTTGACAACTGCATGACATAGTCAGGCGAACCGAACGATTTCCACATCTAATATGGAACACCTTCTGCCAGGGTAAAAAAGAAAGCAACCATTAAACCAAAGCCTAAGTGCGTATTATCCCCGTATTCATGTGTGTGAAAAGGGTTGCGCATACGCAACGTTGACAGCTAACCAAAAAAAAAAAAAACAAGAGAAGGATAGCCAGAAATTTCACATGAAAGCAGCTCTTATCGATGCTGAAAGCTACAGTTTTATAGCTACGGCTACATAAATTACTCAGACAATTGCAAAGTCTTTAAGCTGGCGACATTTTGCAGTCGAATGTCCTGTCGCCGGCTCTCGAATTGTTTCAAATGCCTTTTACGCAGCAGATAGAAGTGGAGCCCGGTTCGACCGGCCAGCCAGGCCCATTGTTGGCCTCTATTTGGCCAATTTTTATTAGAGCTTGAATTACATTTTCATTTGATTGCCTCGCTCTGTCGCAGCACCCGAAACCCTCTCGGCTGGGGTAACCATTAGCCCTGGTTTTGTGTTTCGCTGAGATTTCTTTCTGCTTTAATTTTTTTTTTTTTGTTCTGTGCTCCGGCATTTTGGTCGACCTTTGTGCCCTTTTGGCACATTGTTTCCAATTTATTTAATGACCTTAGTTTTGTTTTCACTCTGCCATTGCTGCTGCTGTTGTTGTTTTTGATGTTGTTGTTGTTGTCGTGATGCTCAATTTTAATTACGCTAGCCAAAAACTTTTTCAATGTATATATAAATATATAGGTATATACTTTTATGTATTTAAAACTGCGCTGTCAACATAAATGTAAAATATGCGGCGCAAAACTTGGCCAGTTCTTCATTAATAGATTTTATGACTTGGTCCTTGCTTGAGGCAGCGAAGCATGTGCGTAGCATTTGCCAATAAAAAACGGAACCAACAGAACTGACGGAACTATCAAGTACAAGTAAATAGCGTAAATAAACAATTCTTTGCTATCCTTTCATTTTGTATCGCTGCCTTTGCTTTACTACTTATATTGGCCCTGGCCAGTGTCCTCTGATCCGGGTCGTTTCTAATAAATTCATTCGATTGCCGCTAAAGTCAACAACAACAAAAGCCTTGCCATCAAAATGGAGAGAAGCTGCGAATGGCAACGGTCACGTAATACGTAAAAATAAAATTCATTTGCTTGTAAAAGTTTTATGTGCCAATTTTATGCTTTCCATCATAGACTTGACTTCGATTCCGAATTGCTGTCCTGCATTCCACGGGCGCCAAATAAGCCAATGCATTTGCGAATTCCAAATAAAACGCCTACAATACGACCATAGAACATGGCCAAAAAGGGGTCAGTCCGAGCAAAGCCCCGAAATGGACTTCAAACTAAACCCGTTTACTGCGCGAGGTCAGTCTTTTAATAGAGAGCGAGAGATACAGCGGCAATAACAGCAGACAGATTGACTGTATATTGCCAATAGTTAAGTAATATCTATAAAAAAGAACCAAGTCTGGCCTGGCGTGCCTGACTGGTAGATATCCAAAGCGAAATGTACGCCCGATTAACTTTGGAGTCGATTGTCCGAGCGCTTCAATATGGCTTACAAAAGAGTGTCTATTTTGGAGCGCAGGGCTCTATCTAATAAAATTAATTTAAAGCCATTTTTAAACGAAATGTTGTTAGTTATTTAAATTGTGAAATATTCAGATTGGGTGTCTCTAGCTCGTATAATACTTGAGTTATGTTTGGAAAATCCAAGTCTCAAAATCGATACTTATCGATATTAGAGGAATAGAAGGAAGTATCGATAAAAATACAAGGAATATAAACGTATGTTGCTTCTCGCTGATAAAAAATGGCATAATGCATAAAATATTATATAGTTTTGTTTCTAATCTGAGAGAAGGAGCAGAATTTGTTCATTTATCGAATCGAGTAGATTAACAGCGCTGCAGAAAAGGGATTTCCATGAGGAAAATGGATGCAGATAGCTAGAGTTACAGTAGAGAATATGCGCACTTAGTTCATTTGTTTTCATTTAGCCGAGCAATCATAATGGCTACTATTTCTTTCCTACTTTATCCCTTAAAAAATACACAGCTAAGGCCAAGCTAATGTCAAACGCTTAAGTCATCAGGTTCTAAAGCCATTTACTTAGTTTTGTAATCACGAACTACGACATTTTTTTTTGTAACCAAATCCGTTAATATTTAATTTCCAAGCAAAATCCAAAAGCAAAAGTGAAAAGTTTCTCAACTTTGGAGCCAAAGCTTTTTAGCCAGGTGCACTATAAAGGTATATGTATATATATATATATGTATATAACTGATATGTATATATCTTTATTTTGTTTGTATATTTGGACAGCAGTTAGTTCAATTCGCCGTTGCTGAGGGATTTGCCAGCTTGCCACAGGTTCCAGACAGGCTACAACTACAGCCAGATCCGAGTCGTGTCCCCAGAGTTTCAGCAACTGGTTGGTGGGGGTTCTGCAGGTGGGTAGGGTAGGGGAGGGGCGTGACTGTCGACTGGTAAAGTTTGTGCTCGGGGTATAATTTTCGTAATGTCTTTAGGTTTAAATAAATACCACAAGCATAGTTTTATATTATTTAACACTTTGTGTGCTGCTTGGCTTGGGCAAAACTTTTGCCTGGCCTGTTCCAGTTTTTTGGCCAGCTCAACTACTGCTGCCTGTTTTTTTGTTTTTGTCATTTTATAACATTGCCAAATGAAGGAAGTTTTCTTGGTGTCTGTGTGTGTGTGTGTATGTGAGTGTGTGTGTGTGTGCGTGCAACTTGGCGAAAATACATTAAAAACTTTGCTGACGCATTTTCTGCGTCTCTAACCAAGGCACAGACTTTAGACTTTGGACTTTGGGAAGCTCTCGGCCAACTTGAGAGCTGCTACACAGTTGCAGTTGCTGTCTATCTGTGTGTGTGTGTGTGTGGCTGGCTTTGTCCCAGCCGGAAATGGTGTGAAAATTTCATTAAAATTGTAAAAGCCAAGAATATTGTGCACACTGTTTGCCGCTTTGTTTTCCTATTTACAAATTGCCTGGCCCAAAATGGAAAAACTAATGAACTTTGTCTACAGCCAAATGAAATGGTCATCATCTGATCATTTGAGTGCATTCTCAGTCTGTGTGTGCAGCGGACAATCGCCGGACAAAGTAAATTATGCGCAGCCCGAATAAAGATCTCAACTTTTCACTTTCCACTTTTCATGTTCCACTTTTCTGACTTTTCTCCACTCTTCGAACTGTTTGTAAACAAAGTTGTTAACCGATTTTTGGGACAACGCGTCAGAAACAAGCGAACGGCCATGGCATTAAAAAGGGTTCGCTGGCTAAACTTTTCGCTTTGATATAGATATTGAAATGGCCTTTTTTTCTCATACACTTGCCAGCGGGCATTTTAACTTTGTGTCAAGGCCGACGACTCTAAGAAGTTCATGTGTATATCCTATAGATCCAAGTCGGTAAAAGGCCTGTCTTTCGATTCCTGGCCTATCCTATCATTATCAAACTATTATCGAACCTTATTGCATGGCGAACTTTTATGTTTCCTAAGATATATACACCAAGTTCTGTCATAAGGAGCTTCACTCTCCGTCTGATACAAGTTTCTGCGAAACGATCTCAAATCGAGCTAAAATATTATATGACTTCTCCAGAAATAATTGCTATCCAAGCGTATTCAAGCCATGTCTAGTAGGCTATTTATTCCTCCAATTGTGCTAGGGGATTTAAACCTCGGCAACTTAAAAGGCTTCAATTTGTGCTTGTTGTGCGCTAGTATCTTTTTTTCATCGTGTTTTTTTGTTGTTGTTGTTGTTACATGACCAAATTGCGGGTGCCTCTGTTGTTGTTGATGTTGAACGGAACGCGCTTATGAGAATGTTTTGCGTTGGCTTTGCGCCCGCCGTAATAAATCAACGGCGCACGCAGTGAATCCTGTGAAGTCAAGTTGAACAAGCGGATTCGAGCAGCTTCCGGCGCCGAAAAAAAAAACACGGGAGAGAGCAAAAAAACAACAATCTGACGCACACGGCAAAAAAGGGAGTAAAATTTGAAGCAGCAGTTCGGTATGGTAATGACACACACAGACGGGAGATACTCTTATACCGAAACACCCACACACCCAGGCACACACAGCTGCAGAGAA